AGCAGGAATATGGGCATCTCTTGCTGTAGCGACAACAGTAAAATTGCCACTCCCGATCCAGCACTGACTCGAAATAGCGGCTCTGGAACCCTGCCACCAGTCCATTGTTGGAGCACGTCTGGTACCTGAAGAGAAGAGAGCAAGTCCAAGTAAACCAACCACAATGATGCACAAGTAGAGCCCCCCTTTCCAAGATCCCAGCTCCCTCAGTTATTGAGTCATGCCACTCTTTCAATGACCTAGATTCCTTACAATTTATTCCATTTTTATGCAAATCATAAAAAAAACTTTGTTTTACTGGTAGGAATGATGTATACTCGCCATTAAAATTCAAATGATTCACAGTCTTTCAACCGAAGGAAAATTGGGAAACTGCTCTTGTTAGACCTCTATGAATATATTGTTAGATGGAAGAATGCATAAATGAATGGATATAGAGGCATCTAGAATTTTTACAAATGCAATATTATATTGTTCATGCCATTTAAAATAAAAGATAATTCACATTACTTGAATTAAAATAAAAAGAATACAAAGAGAAGCTTACACAAGACCTTCTTAGAAGCATAAACCTGGAGACTGAGCACAAGGATACTCAGCAGGCAAAGCCCAGACGGGCACAGCAATTTGTACTGGGTGACCCAGTACAAGCTGTGGGGAGCTGGGACCACAACCCCAAGTTTACACAACTTATCCAGGAATCTTTCTATTGCCCACTAGACAGCAAGCTTTACGTGGTCAGGGAGTGTTTGGTCAAAATTGTATCCCCAGTGCCCACTGTGGGTCCTAGCATATGGAAGCAGTCCTGACAGAGTGGTGATGGGCCACCTGAACTCCTCAAACATCCTCTAAGGGTCCCTTTCCTGTCCAAGCTGCTCAGTTCTAATTCTTCTTGTCTACAGACCCTCCCTGCAGTCACATGAATTTTCACTGTTTCATTCTATCCGGGCTGCTGTTGGTCTAGGAATCAGCCTCTTTCATCTTCACAGCACCTTGCTAGCTAAGCGTTGGCTTAGAACAGTGTAATCATTTCTCCCTTTGTTCCATCTCCTGTCCCACTTTCTCCCACTCCTTCCCCATATCCCACCAGTGCCTTAAGGCTTGCTCCTTTTGCTGTGTTGATGAGGTTGCTGTTCTCCACCTGGCCACAGTGGGCTCCCACCTTGCGCAGAGTGAGAGCTTTCATAAAACCTTCCAAAGGAGGTCTTTAGCTACCTCTGCTTCTTTGTATTTTTACCCACCTGGCCATTGATCATGTTCCCTCTTATGAGTAAGCAGAGAAGGCAGTTGTCTCTGTGTCACAACCTGACAGCTGCTGGAATACGACCCTGCTTTTCAAGGAAAGGTAAGTTTCCAGAAAATATAATAGATAGGGTAAGAATAAGTACCCGATGCTGATAGGTGAGAGGGACCTTGCTGACACACAAAGTATAAAACCATCAGTGACTGGATTTCATTTCATTCTTTTTAATTATTGGAAATGATCTTCTGGGTCTGACAAAACTAGATATTAAATATATTTCATGTCTGGTCAGAAAGCATCTGTATTTTTCATCATTTATTATTCATTTATGCTTATATATATTCAAACACGTGTTTATTTATCCATTCATTCGTTCAGCAAACTTTACTCCCTCGCTCTTCTGTTTCAATCACTGTGCTTCTGTGTTGAAAGAAGAATAGAGAGATGGGCTTGGTACTCGGTCACCATACAACTGGCTTGAATTCCCTGTTCCCAGGACCTGTAAGAAGTTCTGAAAGACCTTAGAAAGCTCAACTGTAGGAGATCAACAGTGCAATTTATGATGTAAATTGAGACCTGTGCCCTTTGATGATCTAGTCTTCTTTGCTCTACCAGGACTCGCATCTCATCAGGAGTATTACCACCTTGGAAAACACCTGGTATGTATCAGGAAGCCACACACTTGGAATGGACAACCAAGATCTGAAGGGTAGCCTTGGGGGCTGATCTTCCAACATGGTCTTATTCTATCCTAATCCTAGCAATGCGAGTGAAAGCCAACTTCAACAGAAAGCTCTAAGAGTTGTAAACAAAGCTCATATGTGTCCAAAGAGAGACGGTGCAGCAAACTGGTGGTCTCTGTGAGCTTCCTCCTTACCATCACTAAAATTCTGCCGTCCTCTAAAACAGCCCTTTCAGAACTGAGCCAGGCTGTTGTTTCCCTGGAGCTGTTGTTCCATTGTCTTGGTTTGTCCTGTGCACTCAGACTATCACGGGGATAGCATTCCCAGGGTGGTGAGTTCCCATAAGCAAAAATAAATATAGCAAGATAAGCTGAATGGTTTCATGGGGTACCAGTTCTGAAAGGCATCCAAGTTCCATGAATTCTCCGCCGGCTGCCAGCCAGGCAGCTGACCCCATAGTCCTGTATGGGAAGTGTATGTGTCACTCTTTCACACCACCTCAGATAACACTGCCCTGTGAAGATTATTTGGACACTACAGGCCCAGGGCCTAAGAACATATGATGAAAGTCAGACAACCAAACAGAGCTCACCTCCCCCAGCTTCTGTCCCATTGCACTCACATTTTAGTAGAGTGAGCCTGCACTGGAGTTTGGCAGTACATGAGGCCAACACAATGAAATTATTCCTTCTAGAATTGGATTTTTGTAAGGGTACATTTTCACACTCATGTGGGAACAGTATAGTAGGGCGGTTAAGAGCATAGCCTATGTTGCTGGACTGGTGCTCCAACCGCTTCTGACTGTGTCACCTTTGACAGGCTTCAGACCCTCTAATCGTCTCAGTTTCCTCATCTGTAAAATGGGCATAATAACAGTATGTACTTATTAAAGTTATTGTAAAGACCAAATAAGGCGATGTATATACAACTCTGGGGATAGTGTCTATTAATGATTAATAAATTACTTACTATTGTCATCATACTTTCATTTAGTCCACACGGCACTTGTGAGTATACTCTGTGAAATCTGCCCTTGGCTTCCCAGTCTCCATCAGTGGAAAGCTGGTGGACTCAGATGTGTTCCTTGAGCTGCTGTTTCCCTAAAACAAAGCTCACAGCAGTCGACTGTCTTAGTCGCTGACACACCCGCTTTGCAGCATAGATATTTGAATATGACTTATTGCCCCCAATAGATGGTAAAGTCCTCGAAGGAGAAAGATCACTTAATCTTCAACTTGAATTCCCCACAGTGCCTGACAATGGGGTCCAGCAAATGTTTGATGGAAGAATGATGAACAAATGAATGATCAGGGCATCTTCCATTATCAGAGGCAGAATGGACTTTTAAAAGCCTGTCATTCAAATCCAGGAAGGGCCCTGAAACTCCCTCCAAGTAGTTCTCAGGAACTTACGTGAGCAATCCATCTTCCCACTTCCACCTTCTCTTTCAGGAACAAAGCCTACTCCAGGACGAGAGTACAAAATGAATATAGCTTTAGGCATTTCTCTCCCTTTCAATCACCTTTTTAAAAAGAACCTTATTTAATAAGACTCAGTTAAACATTTGGCCACAAACTGCAGGATTGCAAACACAGGAGCCAGGCAGGTGAGAAAGGGAATGAGGGCAGCCTGTCAGTGGGAGCGGCGGGGGAAGTTGGAGAAAACTTGAATCATTAAAGTGATTCAGATTCCATTTTTTAAAAGAGTTTTATTAGCAACTAATCAAGATGATTTTTTTTTTTTTGCGGTACGGGGGCCTCTCACTGTTGTGGCCTCTCCCGTTGTGGAGCACAGGCTCCGGACGTGCAGGCTCAGCGGCCATGGCTCACGGGCCCAGCCACTCCGCGGCATGTGGGATCTTCCCTGACCGGGGCACGAACCCGTGTCCCCTGCATCGGCAGGTGGACTCTCAACCACTGCACCACGAGGGAAGCCCCAGATTCAATTTTTAAAAAGGGTTGATGGTGAAAAGACATTCCTGAGGATCTGCTTTACTTCCCACCACTTGGATTTTGTTCCTGAATGGTCCACAGAAAAGAGTTTGAGCCCAAGACTGCAGCTTTCCTGGTGAACAGTGACAGGACCCCAGCTGAGCCCTAGGCACAGACTCCCTGAGAACATTCCCTCAGAGTCTCAGGACCCTGGGGTGCCCTCATTCAGGACTCTCTCCTCTACATTTGAAAAGACATATTTTCTTTCTTCTCATCTCTTTGAAGCCTGGAGGCTCAGTTTCACAAACTGGAGCACTGTTAGCTGTGCTCCACCTGACACTAGAAACTTTCTAGAAGGAAAATCAGCAGGCAGTTACTCCTCCTCTGACAATAGTCATGGACCTTTTCTGAGAAAGTGGTCTTTCTGAAAGTGGTTTCTCTCAGGGCCTTCACCCTGAAAGCAAAGACAAAACCTTCTCCTATGTCCACAATAGCAAAACATGGAAGCGATAGGATGCAGGGGAAAGAGCCCTTGTTGAGGAATCAGCAGGCATAAGTTCTGGTCCTAGCCCTGACCTTCACATGCTGTGTGGAGCCTCATCTAAGTCACTGTGAGGATGAAATAAAATGATGCCTGCAAAAATCTTGGCGAAGATAGAAACAGGAAGATCCAGGATCCAAACTCAGATTTTTCTGAGGCCAAAGCTCCTGTTCATGAACTTTCAGGGAGCACAAAATGTTGCTCCAGGATTGTCATTCTGCTTCTGGTCCAATCTCCAGCCAGGCTTTCTCACTGTTTTTTTGTGTTCTTCATTGGGTCCAGGGCTGTTGGTCAGGCCCAATGATGGAGGCCAGGACTGGAAGGTGTGCACATATCTGGTTTTGCTGGTGAACTCCTCTGTGAAGTTTTAGTCTCTCCTTCCAGTCTCTGCTGGTCTCAGTCCCAACTCAAAGAAAGTCCAAACTCTTAGCAAATTGGGGGTGGCATTGGGTTGAGTGGAGAACAGGGTAAAGGAAAGCAGCACTATCTTGGTTAAGAGCTTTTACAATCCCATCAAATGGGTGGGCTGGTTGTGCTGGTATCTTTCTTCCAGCTCTATAAACATACAGACGTGTTTCCAGGACTGCTAGCCAGTCTTCAGCTCCACGGCAAATATGAAATAAGAGCAGCTTTGATCATCACCCAGGCTGGTGGCCACTCCATGTGACTGGGAGACCATGTGGCAAAGCTCTTACTCCCCAGTGTTTCTCTCCCAACCCAGCTTGAT